TCTCTGTCTCAAAAATAAATAAACGTTAAAAAAAAAAATAAAGCAGTTTAACAATAAAATTTAAAAATGTAATAAAAAATTAAAACTTTAAAATTTAGAAATATATATAAAAATTTAAAAATTAAATAAAAATAAAAAATAAGAAAGTATTGTTATTGAAAAGAGTATTATAGTTGAGATATTCTTTCCCCTCATTCATTCATACATGTATTTAGTATTCACTATCAATTACATGCCACATACGCTGGTTAACAAAGATGAATAATTGGGGGCGCCTGGGTGGCTTAGTCGGTTGAGCGTCCAACTTCGGCTCAGGTCATGATCTCACAGCTCGTGAGTTCGAGCCCCGCGTCGGTCTCTGTGCTAACAGCTTAGAGTCTGGAGGCTGCTTTAGACTCTGTGTCTCCCTCTCTCTCTGCCCCTAACCCACTCGCATTCTGTCTCTCTCAAAAATAAACATTAAAAAATTAAAAAAAAAAATACGAATAATTGTAATAGCTAGTACTTGCATAGTGCTATGTGCCAGAAATATTCTAACCATTGTATAGTAGAAAGCAAGAATTGTTTGTTTTGGGTTTTTTTTGGAACACTGCTTTTTTTATTTTATTAGAGTTTATTCATTTGTTTTGAGAGAGAGAAAGAGAGCACAAGTGGGAAACGGACGGAGAGGAGAGAAAATTCCAAGCAGGCTTCTTGCCATCAGCACAGGGCCCAACACGGGGCTCAAACACACCAACCATAGGATCATGATCTGAGCTGAGATCAAGAGTCAGACACTTAACTGACAGCCACCCAGATGCCCAGAAAGCAAGAATTTTGATCTATCCTGCCTCCTCTAATTTTTTTTAATGTTTACTCATTTTGAGAAAGAGAGAGCAGGGGGGAGAGGCAGAGAGACGGAGAGAGGATCCCAAGCAGGCTCCACACTGCTAGCACAGAGCCCATGAGATCATGACCTGAGCTGAAATCAAGAGTTGGATGCTCAACCAACTGAGCCACCCAGGTGCCCCTAGCTATATTAACTTTTTTAAGGCAACTAAAATAGCTGTTATGACACTGAAATAGTTTTTTTGTTAAATCCTTAAAACAAATACTGTCCTTCCAGAAGGCAGGGTTAGGAAAAATGTCTCCAGAGCTACAAACACCTTAAGTAACAGCTATTGGCTGGCACTTTTGGGAATGAGAAATTTTGTGTGTGTGTGTATTTTTCTAGACAACTGAATTAATACCACCCTAACTTACATGAGAACTTACCCATTTTGGATGACTTATGTTCTTTATTCTAATTGGAAGGAAAATTAACTGCATTTCTTATTTGCTAATATTTTGTATCATTTGTAGTAATAAAGTTCCTTTCTACTAAAAGTAATTAACACAGATTTAGAAAGAGATTAGTATAGGAATGACTATAAAGTAGTAAACATCTTTTTTTTTCATACACATGCATAAGTTCATACATGTCAGTGCTTGTCAAACGTTTTTCATTTTTACCCTTGTCCCCATGCACCCTTTCTAGACTTTTATGCCTCATCATCCCATGAAATTTTAGAACCAATTTTTTTTACCTGTGTCTTTATCTGTACACGTAAAAAGAGTAGGTACAGAAAGCTTCCCTTTTTTATCCATTTCAGGGTTAAAAGTGGCTAAATAAAGTTGAGTTAAATAAAATAAAGACTAAACAAAATTAAGAGTTACATTAAAAAGTGATTAACATTGAATTATACTTTACAAATAGTCATAACATTTTTTTCCTTTTAAAATTGTTCCCCACTGTATTTGCCAGTATATTCTTCAAGCTTCTTCCAAAGGTTAAATACATCCTCACAGACAAAGGTTTGTCATGGCTGAGGAGATTGCAAAGAATGCAGACAGGCTCTGAACAGTATTACAGAAAAGAAAGATCAATTAACTCGAGAGTCAAAACCAAACTTCGTCTATGCGTATGACAGGCTTATGTGATCATAGGCAAGTATTTTAATTTATGTGAACCTTATTTTACTTACCTTGAAAAGGTCAATTATGCCTAACTTCGAAATATGATGGTAAGGATTAAAAGAGATAGAATATGTGAAAGCAGTGTGCATTTTTTATTGGGGGTAGATAAGCATTTAGTATTTTTTATGTATAGTATATATGTTAAAATCCAGTCAAATTACTGAGGGCTTATCTCTTATGCTTCAAGTTGGAAACAGGTGGACTGACTTAAAAAAAGGAGAACCACATGCTGTAGTGACAAGGCTATAGAAAATGAAACACGTACCTCAGTTTAAGCAATCCATTGTATTGGAAATAAGAAAATTTCAGAATCATTTAAACCAACCTTCCATGAACCAGTCCCAACAAAAACTAAAACTCAGTTTCAGTGGTTTTTGTGGCCAGCACTAGTAAATGTCATTAGCCTATGCAGTATTTTTCTTGTTAAAGTTTAAAAAAAAAAAAAATAGGAAGCCACTTTGCTAAAGTAACTGTGCCCAGGCCAATTATCTTGAATGTGAAGCTAATGAGACCAAGATTAAAAGTATAAATCAGCTGTGAGTGGCATTTACACAGTAAAGGGTAATGCCACTGACAGTAAAGCTCTGGTTGTTGGCTACTGACCTCATCCTAACCTTTGTAAAGTATGTTATAAAAATATTCTTTTTTTTTTCAACGTTTATTTATTTTTGGGACAGAGAGAGACAGAGCATGAACGGGGGAGGGGCAGAGAGAGAGGGAGACACAGAATCCGAAACAGGCTCCAGGCTCCGAGCCATCAGCCCAGAACCTGACGCGGGGCTCGAACTCACGGACCGCGAGATCGTGACCTGGCTGAAGTCGGACGCTTAACCGACTGCGCCACCCAGGCGCCCCATAAAAATATTCTTAATCTGTAGGAGGCCTGGAAGAAAAGCATTTGGAACAACCCATCACTACTTTTGAAAACAAAACTCACGTTAGAGTTATCTCAATTGAAGGTTTGTGGTCTTATTTGCATACAAATTGACTCATCATAAGTTACTTTTAATAGTGTGTAAATATTAAAGATCATTTTGAGGTATCATGTATCTATGTTTTTAATCTTATCCTTTTCCAAAAATTAGGTCAAGACCTTTAACCATAATTTCCTGAGCCAATGCCAAGCACATCTAAGTTGCAAGTATTTGAACATGGATATTAACAAGTTACCTCTTTCCCAAGAAATTATAAATTATCTTTCAACACTAAGGAAATCTTTCTGTCAGCAAACTGTCCAATTACTAATGTAAACCATGTTATTTCTTTTTCTATCTATAGGAATTTTTTCTTTGATCCTAAATAGAAGTACAGATAACTGAAGACATACACTTTTTTTAATACAGGATAGAGACTGAAGACGGTGACTACATGTTCTGCTTTGATAATACATTCAGCACCATTTCTGAGAAGGTTATTTTCTTTGAATTAATCCTGGATAATATGGGAGAACAGGTGCAAGAACAAGAGGACTGGAAGAAATATATTACTGGCACAGACATGTTGGATATGAAACTGGAAGATATCCTGGTCAGTATGATCTTTTAATAAATAAAAATTATCCACAGGCCTGACTATGTGATAGGCACAGAAATAAGCATTTTCTCTGCATCATCTCAGGTAATCTTTACTTATGAACTCTGAGGACTATTTATCCCCATCTTTCCAATGAGGAAATTGTGCTTTAGGGAGCTTAAGTAATCTTTCTTTCATATAACTAGAGAGGAGGGAAATCGAATTTGAACATAAGCTCTTAACCCTAAAACTCTCTTAGAATATTCACAAACAGAAGAATGTAATGATCTATAGTGTACTTGCACATAGAATAAAAGTGAGTAATTTGTAAACCCTTAAGATGTAGAGGCATTTTCCTCACAGCATGGTTTTTATAACATGAAATTTGATATTACTTGGTTAATTTGGGAACACTGTTTATATTACTCAGACCAGACCTAGCAGTCACCAGAAACTAGAACTACATTCAGGAGTAAAAACTCTTAGAATATGGCTTGTTTGAATTTCTTTACACTTTTATCATTAACATGCATAGTGAAATGTACATGTTACTATTTGTTAATAATAGTACTAGTGATAGGGGGAATAGGTCAGTACCTTCAGCCACAGATAGATGTAATCAAATCATAGAATTTACTGAGTGATATTTGTAAATAACATATATAGCTGTATGATAGAAATTCCTGCAGGAAAACTAACATGGTTTTGCAAATTGAAACTGTGTAATCTCTAATACTTTTATAACCTAACTTTTTTTTCTTCTTATAATATGGTATTTTGATCACTTGAGGTTTATTAGGAAAGCAACTATCAAATTATAGAAGAGACCTATTATATGTAGATCAGTTAGCTTAAGAAGTTGGAAAATTAAACAATCGTGTATGTGTGACTGCTTAGTAACTGAGCTCTCAGAGCCTTGGTTTTCTCACTTGCCAAATGGAGAGAATACCTCTAGAGTTGTTGTGAGGATGAAATATGATCTAACATGTATAGAAGTGCTTTAAATGGTGTCTGGTACAAAAAAATGTTAGTTTTCTTAGCTCTTCCACGAGTGTTACTAACAATACAAACTGAAAGGATTAAGTTTGATTGGTATGAATTTTTACCATAACAGTTATTTATCTCACCATTTCCCATAGATATATATTTAAAATCTCAATCATATTAACTTATTCTTCCATTTTTATTTTGCCAACAAGAACAGTAGTACTTACATTATTCTTATTAGTACTTCACTGCATTCTCAGGAGATTGAATTCATTCACATGGTTAAACAAAATGACCAGCAAGTTCAGACTTAAATATGGTTTAAGTACTTGTAAGTCCTTTTTAAAGAAAAATAAAATGTCTTTCAGCTTTACTTCCCCAAAATTTAGTTTCATAACAGCAAACTTTAATAAATAATTTTGTGTTTGAGTATCATTTCTATAATATTGAAAAGAATTATGCATGATCTTTTTATTTGGGGATCTGAATTCTTTATTTTTCTAGACAATATTTGCATTACTAGGTTACCATTCTTTACAAATAGGCCTAAATGATAAATACTACACTTTGTATTTTTGTAGGTTTAGCAGAAGAGTCTGAAATTTTGAGTATAGTTTTTGCTTAAATGAGGACCTTAAGCAAAATGACTATCCAGGAAAGTCTGTTTCTAGTTATTTTCTTATTTTTGCCATAAGTACAGTTGACTGTTGAACAATCTGAGATTGAACTGTGCCATCTACTTACACACAGATTTTCTTTAGTAAGTGGAATGTAGTACTGTATATGCATTTTCTCTTATGATTTTCTGAGTAACGTTTTCTTCTCTCTAGCTTACTTTATTATAAAAATACAGTATATAATACATATAACAAAAAGTGTGCTGATTGTTTAGGTTATTAGTAAGGCTTCTGGTCAACAGTTGGCTATTAGTGGTTAAGTTTTTAGGGAATCTAAAGATTTACATGGAATTTTAACTGTGCAGGGCATTGGCATCTCTAACCCCCATGTTGTTCAAGGGTCAACTATGACATCATTTCAAACCTCAATTTTATCTTATATTCATATAGCCCTTTTATAGTTTTCAAATCACTTCTCACCAAGACCCTACTATAAAAATACGTTTTTCAGAAGATGTACAATTTAGAGTGCATCTTAGTAATAAGCTTTTACAAATGTGATCTTGGAACATTTTTTAAAAAACAGATTTGATTATACTTTGGGATTTATAATATACATATCAAAAATTGGAATATTTTCTAATTTCACTACATTTTCTGAGATAAAAACATTGGGTGTTTTGCTAGACACTACACTGGGCCAGACTAACATTCAAAGAAGAAAATATAAACCCACAGTGCATTATATAAAGACAAATACCTAAACACTGTTATCAGTTAGGTTTTTTAAAAACTTAGTTATTTTCTTATGGTTGTGAGGGCTGAGAAAGAGGTAATGTATGTAAAACCCCTGGTACTATACCACTCAAATAGATTTTCACATTATTTATTTTCAATTTACAGTAGCTTTGCTTCTCTGTTAAATAACTATTTATAAAAAAATAATTTAAATAAACCAGGAGAACTATTACATAAACTTACAGAGATCTTTAGGTAATCCAAGTAGCACCTGTCCCTTAATTGTTTGGATATAAAACTAATATGAATGTCAGGGTACTGTGAATCACATGTTTAAATTGGCTTAAATTTACTGAGCATTCTTTTATAGTAAAATTATTTTATTTATCTCCAGGAATCCATCAACAGTATCAAGGCCAGACTAAGCAAAAGTGGTCACATCCAGACTCTGCTTAGAGCATTTGAAGCTCGTGATCGAAATATCCAAGAAAGCAACTTTGATAGAGTCAATTTCTGGTCTATGGTTAACTTAGTGGTAATGGTGGTAGTGTCAGCCATTCAAGTTTATATGCTGAAGAGTCTATTTGAAGATAAGAGGAAAAGTAGAACTTAAAACTTTAAACTAGACTACTTAACATAAAAAAGAGAGATGGAAAAATGTAATACACCTTACAGTTAAAGTCCAAGACCATTAATAGTCTTTTCAAAAAAGATTTTCAGGTATTACCACAAGCGTGAAGCAAGTATAATTTTAATGTGAAAGGAAAGTCTTCACTTTCATCTGTGCAAGTAGTCTTACTGCTTCAGTTGTACTTAAATATATAACAAATATTTTGCAGAGTATAGGTATAATTGAATGAAGCCATATTAATAACAGCATTTTCCTAAGTTTGAAAAACTTTTGCAAATGTCATAGGTAATTTAAATAAATGAGCTTTGGGCCCAAATGCAACACCAAACAATGTTTTTAAAGATTCTCTTACCTAGAAGTTTCTTTGTAAATTTGGCAAATACAAATTAATACAGGTTTTCAATATATTAAAGTTTCTTTGTAAATGTGGCAATTATAAATTAACTGTGTAAGTTTCCAGTATATTAAGTTATAAATCATCTGAGAATTACCTAATCATAGATTGGAATAATCTTTAGAAAACAAAAACTCAACTTTTCTTTTTACATATGTATCTCTCCTATAATGTAAATAGACACATAGCTGTGAAAAACAGATTTGTGAGACTTTTATAACCAAATATATTTCAATTTAAAATATTAACAAAAAGTATTAGTTTTATAGACTTAGCTTACATTCCCCAAAGGCCAATATTTTCATAATTCTTAAATTGCTCAGTCATTATTAAAATTTGGAAAAATTTTCTCTTTGAAATGAAATCGCTCAGTCTCCATAGGGACACATTTTGTCTAGTCCTTAACTAAGATCTAGAATTTTGAAATTAAATGTGACAAAAAATACTTTTATATTACCTATCAGCAGTGTTATGTTAATTTTAACATGATTATTGACTTGGATAATACATTATTACCAACAGTTGTGAAGGAAAATATTGCTTTAAAAATCTAGGCCTAACATAAATAAAGATCTCCTTTTCTGAGTTCTTAAAATCAACAACAAAAAAAATAACAAAATCAATAAAGAAGAATTTGAGTAAGCTTGAGAACATCTGATCAAAATTAAGTTCACTTAAATAAACTGTAAGTATCTAGAATCTGATTGGTTCACTAATGACCCTATCCTAAATAATAATCAGACTAAATTCCAGTTAACTGTAGAAACTCTACTTGGCCATGGCTTTTATTGTTTTACAGTTGTTTTATTCTGTTTTGAATTGTCTTTTATAAGTATTCAGGTATATTTTATGAAACAAACTCTACTGTAAGATTTAGCACTGGGTAAACATATTACAACTTTTATTATAACTTTCATTAAATTACTTTTCTGATCACTTTATTTATTGACATTCAAGTAAGGATTGAAAGCCTACAGAATCCCAAATTTAGAGCTGATATGTGAATAACTTTATATAAAGTCTCTGACATCCTTCTTATTGGGTCTATGGAGTCTTACTCATATACTAGTAATTTAGCTACATTAAGTAGAATTTTTAGGTTTTATCGATTTGTAATACTGGTTAAGACAAATATGAGTTAGAAACAATCAGCTTACAAGTTTGAATATAGCACCCCTCTGTATATTAGTACTGCTTGAATTCTTAAGCAATGATATCAAGAGAATGGTTTATTAATTTACAGTCAGAGTGGTACAAAAAGATTTATTTCCCTCCTTATGCCTTTGGGAGAACAAAGGTTAGATATCCCTACTCTGAAGCTTTTTAAAAATGAGGATTGATTACCTTAACTGACCCAAGAAAATGCTTTTATGTGTCCAGGAGTAGCACCTGAAATACAGGCAAAACAAGGGCCAATAATTGCCTATGATATCCCATTCCCCCCTTCTGTTAAACTCAAAATGAGAAGCAAACTTACCATACTATACCTAATACAACAGTGCAGATCTAAACTACTGCATCTTTTCTATAAAACTGTGATTAAGAATTCTACCTCTGGCTGGCTACTGTACTGTACTGATTCCTTACCTAACAATGAATTTGTTACATCATGTACGTATGATTCATGCCACTGATTTTAAACCTGTGATTCAGTAACTTCTTACCTTATAATGGCCTTATTTGGAAAACAAAGAATTTAGGAATACTGAGGACAATTTTATTTTTATAGGCACAAAATGAAGAGTGGGATTAAGAATGTTAACTTGTATTAACCAAAAAAAGTATAATCAGTGAACAAAGAACTAAATTCTTTGGCATATAGATTATCTGCCTCATGTGGTTTTTTAAATGTCAGTATTAAATTTTGAAATTGAAATTATGCTAAAATTAAGCTATCACATAATGGCTGATTTTTTCTTTGGTGTTTAGTTACATAAACTCGTAAAATACTGTAATATTTAAGGCCTAGAGTTTTATTCTCATTTGCATTTGGGTCATTAATGGTATGCTATTCTTTCAAGGTATAGAAGGTAAAGAAGTGGTTGAAATAGGAAGGAAATAAATTACAAATTGAAATGTAATTTTGTTAAGTAGGTTTATCCTTCTTAAGCATTGTTATTATGTCTTAAAATTAACAAAAATTGAGTACCTATAATTGTATGCCTCCCTAAATAAAAATTCTTTATCTGAAATTTAAAAAATGATTCAGCATGTAATAGCTTTTCATCTGAAGTGTAATACATAATCATTGTTGCTCAAATTGCTTTATAGTTGTTAACAGCCTTATTAAAAGAGCAATGAATACTATGCTGAATATACATAATAAAAATTACAGTCAAAGGAAATTTTACTTATCTGTCATTGTCAATGCTAAGCCTTAAAACCTTCATTGATCTCATACTTGGCCTTGTGTGCTCTCCCTTCCATTTGAAAACCCATAGTTCTCTGCACTTCCTATTGTAGGTCATTCTGCCTTGCATTGGATTTCTATTTATATGTGTTCTCTTATTCATCCGTTGCCCAAACATGCATTGTAACTATAAGGTGCTCAAAATACAGAGGGGGGAAAAAAGAGCCAAAGGTCGTCACTTCTGAAAGTTTGGAATGCTAAATAAGCACCCAAGGAGCTTGTACCACTCCTCTAACCCAACCCCAGAAATTGATTGCTTAGGTCTATAATAGGGCTCAAGAATCTTAATTTTTAACCAACACAACTTGGGATTGTGGTATCCATTATCCCTGGACCATTTGCTAACTGAAGGATCTTGAGAAATCAAACTTCCTTTGAGTCTATTTCTTTGTCTATAGAAACATTTTAGGTAGCATCTTAAATCTTGGTTAAAATCACATAAGAGTCCAATGCTTGGTGGAAATTAGTTTGTTATTGGTATTTCCTTACCATCCAGACAAGACACTCTTCCCCTCCAAGCTGATAGAATTCCTTAGGCACCTTTCTGCTTCTGCAGTGCCATCACTTTCAGGTGTCTGGGTTCCTGTAAGGTTTGTGTCATTACAAACTAGAGCTAGACTACACTTTACTGTATGTCTGGGGAAAGGGCATAGAATAAAGAATCCACACCTAAGATGATGTTACATGAAAGACAGAACACTGAGATGGGACTCTGTATCTTGTATCTGAAAGAAAAAAGCAAGAAAATGCCAAGCAGGGGAAAATTTGGAGGTCTTCAATGACCATGAGTCAACAGCAAAATGAAGAATCTGTTATCCAACACTCCCACTCCTGGAAGTTCTCAAGTGGCAATAATGATCAGATGTCAAAGGGTTCATTTCTACACTGGGTAACAAGTGGAAGGAGGGACTAATAAAACTAATGTTTCTACCCTACCTTTATTTCAATTCCAAAAGGACTAGTACTGTGCTATTTGTAGGGCAAAGCTGAAAGAAAAGGCACAGCTTAAAAAGACACATTTTGGAGTTCTATTTTGCTGGATTTTGCTTGGTATTCAAAACCAAATTGGAAACAAAAAAACACAATACTGCTGACAATCACACTCCAAAGAAAATCACGTTTAGGTATAAATCTTAGCAAATCCTGTACAAGATCTGTATGCTGAAAATTATCAAAAGTTGATGAAAGATCAAAGACCCAAACAAGTAGAGAGATGTACCATGCTCCATGGATTGGAAGGCTCAAAACAGTAAAATGGTCAATTCTTCCCTAAATGTAAATTTAACATTCCTATCAAAATCCAGCAAGGTTTTTTTGTAGACAGAGAGAAGCTTACTCTAAAACATATGGAAAGGCAAAAAAACTAAGACCAGGATGAAAGGACTAAGACAATTTTTTAGAAAAATAAAGAAAAAATGAATCAAGAATTAAGTCTACAGTAATCAACACTGTGTGATACTGGTGGAGGGGTAGACACATAATGGAACAGAGATTCCAGAAATACACCAAACAAGTCCAACTGATTTTCAATAAAGATGCAAAAGCAATACAGAAAGACAGCCTTGTGAACAAATAGTGCTACAGCAATTGGAACAGACAGGTGAAAACATGAACTTTAATGTAGAAAGCTATAAAGCTTTTCAAAAAACTGAGAAAATAATCTTCAGGACCTAGCCATTAGCCATTAGGGAAATTCAAGTTAAAATCATGAGGTATCACTACCCAAATGGCTAAAATAAATTACCAACAGTTGAAACTAATGTAACACTTTGTGTCAACTTATGTTTTCTAAAAGTTACCAAATGCTGGCAAGGATGCAAGAAAAATTAGATCATTCATACACTGCTGGTGGGATATAAAATGGTAGTCACTAGAAAATATTTTAGCAGTTTCTTATAAAATTAAACATGCACTTACCATGCAACCCAGCATTTATACTCTTGAATACGTGAACCTCAGAAATAAAAATGTTCATATAAAAAGCTGTACACAAATTATATATATAGCAGCTTCACATTTAACAACCTCAAACTAGAAATAACCCACATGCCCTTCAAAGAGTGAATGGTTTAACTTTGCTACATCCATACCATGGGATAAAGGAACAACTATTGATACATGTAACAATCCGGATGGACCTCAAGAGAATTATGGTTACTGGAGCAAAAAAACAAACAATCTTAAAAGGTTACATACCTTATGATTGCTTTAAATGTAATATTCTTAAAATAAAAAAAAAAAATAGAGATGGAAAACAGATTAGTGGTTGCCAGGTGTTAGGAATGGAGGGAAGAAAGGGAATGTGGCTATAAAGGCAGTCTGTGGTGAAACAATTCTGTATCTCGATTGTGGTAGTTACCCAGATCTGTGTATGATAAAATAACATGCAACTATATAAACACACGAATGAATGCTTTTAAAATTGGTGAAATCTTGGGGCACCTGGGTGGCTCAGTCGGTTAAGCGGCCGACTTCGGCTCAGGTCACGATCTCGCGGTCCATGAGTTTGAGCCCCATGTCGGGCTCTGTGCTGACTGCTCAGAGCCTGGAGCCGGTTTCAGATTCTGTGTCTCCCTCTCTCTCTGACCCTCCCCCGTTCATGCTCTGTCTCTCTGTCTCAAAAATAAATAAACGTTAAAAAAAATTTTTTTTTTAAATAAAATTGGTGAAATCTGAATAAACTCTGGATTATAACATCAATTTTCTAGATTTGATACTGTATTATATCCAAGAAGTTACCATTAAGAGAAACTGAGGAGTACACAGGGACTCTGTGCCTGTGTGTGTGTGTGTGTGTGTGTGTGTGTGTGTGTGTAGCAATTTGTGAATATAGATTTCAAAATAAAAATTTAAAACAAAAATGGCACAGATGAATATTATACCGGAAACAGACATTATTAGTGTGTTGGTATATGTACATATTTCTGAATGAAGCTGGAAATGAGTGAAATAACTTAATTCCTTTTAAAGAAAATCAAAATATTCTCAGTTAAAAACAGATTGTCATTTTAAGTATTACTTCAATTCGTAAGATTAATAGAAAGGGGAAACACCATATTATCTCAGGGAGCTTAAGAAACTGAACCGGATTGTTTTTACATGAAATATAAAAGAAAACTCAACCTTTTTCTTTTGGAATTCTATATTCTACAATAC